AGATGGCAGCGGTTAAAAAGGCGCTTGCGTTCATGTCATCAAAAGTCCGCCGGTTTGGCGTGGGTTTCGAATCCACTTCTGATAATGTAGTTTTATTGAGTCATTATTTTTTTTAGGTCTATAAGCTAAATATACAAGAAGGAAAGAATCTTTCACAGAGTTAAAGATTCCTAAGGCGGTATAAAGCGCTGCGTTTAAGTCGCATTAAATTCTGCAGGGCGTGGTTTTCGGATTCCACATTTGTGATATGCAAATTTTGTTGTTGTTTTTAAGTTCTCTTTGGTAAATGAAGAGAGGAAACCCTTCTCTCCTCCGTGTCAGGATGGCGGAGCGATCCCAAGAGCGCTGCGTTCAGGTCACTGATCCACTTGTTTTAGGCGTGGGTTCAGGAATCCACTTCTATTTCTTTCAGTCATTTTGAGGTTAAAAAGCTTTATGCAAGGGAAAGCTATTTGCGTCTATTCAGGATTGCCAGTGGTCTAAAGGAGAAGGCGCTGCTTTCAGGTCGCAGTCCACTTGGTTTGGCGTGGGTTCGAATCCCACTTCTGATAATGTAATTTTATTTGGTGTTATTGTTTTGGGTCATACCTTGTAAGCACAGAAATGCTTGAGGAAGATCTTTTCACAGGTTGAGATTCTGAGCGGTCTAAAGCGCTGCGTTTAAGTGCGGTAATTCCTGCAGGTGCGGTTTCGGATTCACGTTTGACGATTATATTTCATTCATTCATTTTTTAAGTTCTCTGTTATTAAATGAGAAAAGGAAACTGCGCTCTCCTCCGTATCGGATGGCCGAGCAGTCCTAAGGCGCTGCGTTTATGTCATGATGTCATGACCAATGAGCGTAGGTTCGTCCCACTTTTGAAAGTGTATTCAAACGCAATTTCGTATTTTTGAAGATTAAGAACTAAATGCAAGGAAAGCTTTTTTGCGTGTCAGGGAGGGACGAGAGCGGTTTAACGTGCTGCAATCAGATCGTAGTCCACTTCCGTGTTCGTGGGTTCGAATCCGCTGGTTGTCTGTTTCACTGTACAAGTCATTTTTGAGTTTAAAAGCTTCATGCAAAAAGCTATTTTTGCGTGTCCAGGATGGCCACCGATCGATCGGTCTAAAGGCGCTGCGTTTAGATCACGTTCCCCTTACTGTTTTGGAAAAGCGGGTTCGATCCACTTCCTGACAATAAAGATTTTATTCAGTGTTGTTTTTTAGTTCTCATAACTTAAAATGCCTGAAACGATCTGCTTTCACGTGTCAGGATGGCCGAGCGGTCTAAGGCGCTGCAAACGGTCGCGCTGACCTGTGCATATCGAAGTCCTAACTCCCGTCGAAGCATTCAGATTTGGTTGAGGCTATTTCTTTTGAAGGATTCTCATAAAGTAAATTGCGGACTTGCGTTTTTCTCGAATTTCAGGATGGCCAAGCGGTCAGGCGCTGAGTTCATGTCGAAGTCCACTTCGGTTTTGGCGTGTAGTTTCCGATGCCACTTCTGATAATGTAATTTTGTTCCTGATATTATTTTAGTTATATGAAACTAAATGCTGAGGAAAATTTTCCGGAGTTAAAGATTCCCTGAGCAGTCTGGCTTTGCGGCGCGTTAAATGCAGTATAAAATTCTGCAGGCGTGGTTTCCGGATTCCACGTTTGACATTATATTTCAGCTAATTCATTTTTTGAAGCTCATTGTTAAATGAAACGAAACACACTTCCACGTGTCAGGATATGGACCGAGCAGGCTAAGCCCGCTACGATTACAGATCCGCGATCCACCTGTGGGCGTAGGTTCAGATGTCGCCTTCTGACAATGTATTTCTTTAACGCTCTGTTTTTTTGGGTTAAAGAACTAAATGCAAAGGAAAACATTTGCGAGGCGCAGGAGCGATCGAGGCGGTTTAAGGCGCTACCGTCGGTCGTAGTCCGCTAAGTATTGGGCGTTGAGTTCAGGAATCCGCTACGACGATATGCCATATTTTCTTTCAGGTAATTTTGAGGTTAAAAAACTTTGTACAGGGAAGCTTTTGCATATCGGATGGCCGAGTGGTCTATGACGCTGCGTTCAGGTCACAGTCACTTCTGTGGGCGTAAGGGTTCGAATATCCCACTTCTGACCAATAAAAATTTTACTCATATTTTCTTGGGTTTAAAAACTAAATGTGAGGCAAAACTCTTTCACATGTCAGGATGGCCGATCGGTCTAAGGCGCTGCGTTTAGATCACATTCCACTTCTGTATGGGCGCGTCAGTTCGAATCACGCTTCTGACAATATAATTTTATTGAGTCATTTTTTGATTTCTCATAACTTAAATGTAAGAGAGAGCTTAGCTCTGGCTCAGTCAGGATGGCGAAGGCGGTCTAAACGCTGCCTTCGGGTCGCAGTCCACTTCTGTGGGCGTGGGTTCGGCTCCACTTCTACAGAAACCAATAAATTTACATTCCAGTCATTTTTTTAGTTCTCATAGCAAATATAAGAAGCGCTCTAGCACGTGTCCGGGATGCTTGAGCCAGGTCTAAGGCGCTGCAAACAGGTCGCATGACACATGCATGTTAGGGGACTAACTCCCAAGTCGAGCAATTAGATTTAGTTGAGCTATTTCTTTTAGTTTTTCAATATAGTAAATTAAAAGAAACGTTTTTCTAGAATTTCAGGATGGCCAAGCGGTCAAAGGCGCTTTGCGTTCATAATAAGAAGTCCCTTTCGTAGTTTTGGCGTGGGTTCGAAAATCCCACTTCTGATAATGTAATTTTATTGGAGTCATTTTTTTTAGGTCTGTAAAGCTAAATATGAGGGAAAGATCTTTCTACACAGTTAAGATTCCTGAGCGGTCTAAAGCGCTTTGCGTTTAAGTCGCTGTAAATTCCGCAGGCGTGGTTACCGGATTCCGCGTTTGACGATGCATATTTCATTCATTCATCATTTTTTGAAAGTTCTCATTAATTAAATGAAGAAAACACTCTCACTCCCGTGTCAGGATGGCCGAGCGGTCAAAGGCGCTGCGTTCAGGTCATAATCCACTTGTAGGCGTGGGTTCGAATCCACTTCTGACAATGTATTTCTTTCAGTCATTTTTTGAGGTTAAAGAACTTTTATGCAAGGAAAGCTATTTTGCGTGTCACTATGGCCGAGTGGTCTAAAGGCGCTGCGTTCAGGTCATGCAGTCCTTGCGTGTTCTGGGTTTGGGACGTGGGTCATTTTTATTAAAAAACTACATGCAAGGGAAGCTATGTGTCAGGATGGCCGAGCAATCTTGCTGACAATGTATTTCTTTCAGTGTTTGAGTTTTCAGTCATTTTTAAAAAACTACATGCAAGGGATAGCTATTTTGCGTGTCCAGGATGTCCAGTGGTCTAGGCGCTGCGTTCAGGTCGCAGTTCACTTCTGTGGGCGTGGGTTTCGAATCCCACTTCTGACAATAAAATTTTTATTCACATACTCTTCTTAGGTTACAAAGAACTAAATGTAAGGGGAAAACTCTTTCACATGTCAGGATGGATGATCTGATTATGCAGGCGCTGCGTTTGAATCACGTTTCCCTTCTATGGGCGTGGGTTCGAATTCCACTTCTGACAATAAAATTTTATTTCAGTGTATTTTTTTCAGGATGGCCGAGTTCTCATTCAGCAATGTTCAGGAATAAAATTTTATTGATCATTTTTTCCAGCTCTAGTGTGAAGCACGTGTCAGGATGGCCGAGCGGTCAAAGGCACTGCCAAACAGGTCGCAAGACACTTGCGTTTTCGGGTCTAACTCCCACGTTGAGCAATATATTTAGTTGAGTTATTTTTTTTAGTTCTCATAGTAAATTAAAAGGTTACGTTTTTCTCAAATTTCAGGATGGCCAAGCGGTCAAAGGCGCTGCGTTCATGTCGAGGGAGTCACCGGTTTTGGCGTGGTTCAGATCCCCACTTCTGATAAGTAATTTTTTATTGAGTCATTATTTTTTTAGTTTTCATAAACTAAATGTAAGGCAAGAGAGATTTTTCATAGGTTAAAGATTCCTGAGTGGTCTAAGCGCTGCGTTCAGGTTGCAGTAAAATTCTGCAGGCGTTGTTTCAGTTCCACATTTGACAATTATATTTCATTCATTCATTTTTTTTAAGTTCTCATTAATTAAATGAAAAGGTAACACTCTCCCGCGTGTCAGGATGGCCGAGCAGTCCTAAGGCGCTGCTAATACCACTGCGATCCCAGGTATTTCTATTCAGTCATTTTTTGAGTCCACTATTTTGTGTCAGGGATGTATGGGTTCAAATCCACTTCTGACAATACTTCTGAAATTTTATTCACATACTTTTCTTGGGTTCAAACACTAAATGTAAGGAAATTCTTTCACATGTCAGGATGGCTGATCGGTGTAGGCGCTGCGTTTAGATCACATTCCACTTATGTGGGCGTGGGTTCAATTCCACTTCTGACAATAAAAATTTATTCAGTCTTTTTTTTTTTTTCTAGTTCTCATAACTTAAATGTAAAGGAAACGCTCTCGCATATGTCAGGATGGCCGAGCGGTCTGGAAGGCGCTGCGTTCGGGTCGCAGTCCCACTTGTGTGGGCGTGGGTTCGAATCCCACTTCTGACAATGTATTTCTATTCAGTCATTTTTGAGGTTAAAAACTAAATAAAAGGGGAAGATATTTTTTGCGTGTCAGGACGGACGAGCGGTTTAAGGCGCTTCAATCAGGTCGTAGTCCCGCTTCCGTGGGCGTTGGTTCGTATCCCATTTCTGACAATGTATTTCTTTCAGTCATTTTTTGAGGTTAAAAAAACTTTATGCAGGAAAAGCAATTTTTGTGTGTCAGGATGGCCGAGAGGTCTAAGCCGCTGCGTTCAGGTCGCAGTCCATTTCTGTGAGCGTGGGTTAGAATCCACTTCTGACAATAACATTTATTCACATACTTTTCTTAGGTTTGCAAAACTAAATGTAAAGGAAAACTTTTCCCATGTGAGGATGGCCGATCGGTCTATTGCGCTGCGTTTAGATCACATTCGACTTCTGTGGGCGTGGGTTCGAATCCCACTTCTGACAATAAAACTTTATTCAGTCTTTTTTTTAGTTTCTCATAACTTAAATGTAAGGAAAAACTCTCGCACGTGTCAGGATGGCCGAGCGTCTAAGGCGCTACCAATCAGGTCGCCATGCACTTGCGTGTTCGTGTGTCCAACTCCCACATCGACAATTATATTTAGTTGAGTTATTTTTTTTTAGTTCTCATAAAGTAAATTAAAGGAAACGTTTCACTTAAATTTCAGATAGCCAAGCGGTCAAAGGCGCTGCGTTCATGTCGATCCAGTCAGTTTTGGCGTGGGTTCGAAGATCCACTTCTGATAATGTAATTTTATTCAGTCATTATTTTTAAATCTCATAAACTAAATGTAAATTAGAAGATCTTTCACAGGTTAAGATTCTGAGCGGTCTAAAGCGCTGCGTTTTTAGTCGCAGTAAAATTCTGCAGGCGTGGTTTCAGTTCCACGTTTGACAATTTTGTTCTAGTCATTTTTTAGTTTCTCTCATAACCCAAATGTAAGGAAACGCTCTAGCACATGTCGATGGCCGAAGCGTCTAAGAGCGCTGCAATCGGTCGCCGTACACTTGCGTGTTCATTATTAAATCCAACTCCCGTCGAGCAATTATATTTAGTTGAGATTATTTTTTTGAGTTCTCATAAAAGTAAATTAAAAGGAAACGTTTTCTGCGGAAATTTCAGGATGGCCAAGCGGTCAAAGGCGCTGCGTTCATGTCGAAGCTGATCGGTTTTGGCGTGGGTTCGAATCCACTTCTGATAATGTAATTTTATTGAGTCATTATTTTTTAGGTCTAATAAGCTAAATGTAAGGGGAAAGATCTTTCACAGGTTAAAATTCTGAGCGTTAGCCTTTCACTTTAAATCGCAGTAAAATTCTGCATGCGTGGTTTCCGAAATCCACGTTTGACAATTATATTTCATTCATTTATTTTTAAAGATTATAGTAATTACATGAAGGAAACACTCTCCCACGTGTCAGATTGGCCGAGCGGTCTAATGCGCTGCGTTCAGATCGCGAAGTACCTGTGTGGGCGTGGGATCGAATCCCACTTCTAACAATGTATTTCTTTCAGCCATTTTTTGAGGTTAGAAGCACTTTATAAGAAAGCTATTTTGCGTATCAGGATTGGCCGATGGTCGCAGGCGCTGCGTTCAGCGTTGCAGTCCACTTCTGTGGGCGTGGGTTCGAATCCACTTCGACAATGTATTTCCCTATTGAAGCGTCGTTTTTTGAGGTTAAAGAACTAAATGCAAGGGAAAGCTATTTTGCGTGTCAAGATGGACGAGCGGTTTAAGGCGCTTTCAATCGGTCGTAGTCCACTTGCGTGGGCGTTGGTTCGAATCCCACTTCTGACAATGTATTTCTTTCGATCATTTTTTAGTTAAAAACTTTTATGCAAGGAAAGCTTTTTTACGTATCAGGATGTCCGATCGGTCTAAGGGCTGCGTTTAGTCCCACGTTTCCACTTCTGGGCGTGGGTTCCGAATCCACTTCTGACAATATAATTTTATTCAGTCATTTTTTTAGTTCTCATAACTTAAATGTAAGGAAACGCTCTAGCGTGTCGATGGCCGATCGGTCCTGAGCACTACAATCAGTGCGTACACGCGTTCATGGTCAGAAAGCTCCCGTCGAGCAATTATATTTAGTTGGGGATTATTTTTTTAATTCTCATAAAATAAATTTAAAAGGTTACGTTTTTCTCAATTTTTTGGATGGCCAAAGCGATCAATCGCGCTTTGCGTTCATGTGGAAGTCCACATGCGGTTTGGCGTGGTTCGAATCCCGCTGACCAATATAATTTTATTGAGTCATTTTTTTAGTTTTCATAAAGCTATATATGTAAGAAAAGATCATCTTTCACAGTTTAAGATTTGAGCGGTCTGGCACTGTGCGTTTAAGAGATCGCAGTAAAATTCTGCGAAGGCGATGGTTTCGGATTCCCGTTTTATAATTATATTTCATTCATTCATTTTTAAGTTCTCATTAATTAAATGAAGGAAACACTCTCCACGTCTTGGCAGGATGACCCTGAGCGGTCTAAAGGCGCTGCGTTCAGGTCGCGAACCACTTGTGTGGGCGTGGGTTCGAATCCGCTGACAATGTATTTCCTATTTAGTTATTTTTGAGGTTAAAGGAACTAAGCAAATGCAAGGGAAAGCTATTTTGCGTGTCAGGAGGGATAGGCGGCTTTAATTCGCTGTCGGGTCTGGTCATAAAAATGAGTTCGAATCCGCTACTGACAATATGTTTTCGCTCAGTCATTTTTGAGGTTTAAACGCTCTGGGAAAGCTAGTATTGCATTGTAAGGACGTGAGCGATCCTAAGGCCAGCTGCGTTCGAAGATTGGCAGTCACTTCTGTGGGCGTGGGTTTAATCCATGACAATAAAAATTTTATTCACATGCGCCTGGCGGTTCAAACTTTTCAGTGTAAGGAAATATTTTCACATGTCAGTTATTTGATCAGTTGTGTATGGCTTAGGCTGCGTTTAGATCACGTTTCCTTGTGGCGTGGGTTCGAATTCCCTTCTGACAGCCGTTTTATTCAGTCTTTTCTGAAGTTCTCCGCCAACAGAAATGTGAGGAAACGAAGACTCGCGTGCCAGGATGGCTGAGCGATATAAAAACCTTCCGCGTTCGGGGTGCGATCTGCATAATATAAGGCGCGTGGGAGTTCGAGATCCACACTTCTGACAATGTATTTCTATTCGGAAGATCATTTTTGGAGTTCAAAAGAACTAAAATACAAGGAAAGCTATTTTGCGCGTGTCAGGAAGGGACGAGGGCAGTTTTGAGCGCTGCGTCAGGCCATCCCTTCGCGTGTTCGTGGTTTGAATCCCCATGGACAGTATGTTTTCTTTGTCTGTTTTGAAATTTAAAAAACTATACGAGGGAAAACTATTCTAAATTGTCAGGATGGCCGGGCAGTCTAAGGCGCTGCGTTTGGTCATTCCACTTCTGTGGGCGTGGGTTCGATCCACTTTACGACCAATAAAGTGCAATCCTTTTTAGCACCTTGGTTTAAAGCACTAAATGTAAGGAAACTCTTTCACATGTCAGGATTGGCTGATCCACTAAAGCAGATAAAGCGCTAATCAAGTCGCAAAAGTACACCCGCGTGATCAGGGGGTCTAACTCCCGTCAGAACAATTATGTTTGATTTGAATTATTTTTTAAGTTCTGTATAAGTAAATTAAAAGATTACGTTTTCTTAAATTTCAGGATAGCCAGCGGTCGAAGGCCTTTGCGTTCGTGTCAGGCGGTCACTGGACTAGAGCTTATCATCTGAGGAAACTCTTTCTGCATGTGGATGGCCGATCGTCTAAGGCGCTGCGTTTAGATCACATTCCCGCTATGTGGCGTGGGTTCGAATCCCCGCCTCTGGCACGCCAATAAAATTTTATTCGTCCATTTTTTCGGTTATATAACCCATCTTAAGAACGCTCTAGCACGTGTCAGGATAGCCTAACTTCAGGTCTAAAGGCGCTTTCGTGGAGTCGCAATCACGCGCGTGTTCACGGGTCAACTCGCATTCGAGCAATTGTCATTTGAGTTGAGTTATTTTTGGTTCTCATAAATGAAATTAAAGGAAACATTTTCTCAAATTTAAAATGTTCTGGCGAACCGAGCACTGCATTCATATGGAAATCCTGGTTTAGCGTGTGGGTTCAGTCCCACTTCTGATAATGTAATTTTAAACTGAGTCATTATTTTTGATTTTCATAAACAAAATGTAAGAAAGATCTGGGTTGGAATTCACCGGTGATTACAAAGCGCTTGCGCGTTTAAGTCACCGATAAAAATCTGAGCGTGGTTTCAGTTCACGTTTTTGCGCAATTATCATTCTTCCATATTCATTTTACTGAAGTTGTCGTAATAAGTGAAAAACCTCTCGTGGAAGGTTGGCCGAGCGGTCTAAGGCGCTGCGTTCGTATCGCAGTCCACTTTGTGGGCGTGGGTTCGAATCCACACCTTCTAAACAGTATTTTCTAGCTGGTCATTTTTGAGGTTAAAGAACTAAATGCAAGGAAAGCTATTTTTACGTGTCGGGAGGACGAGCGGTTTAAGGCGCTGCAATCAGTTCGTAGTCCACTGCGTGTTCGTGGGTTCAAATCCCCACTTCGGACAATTTATTTATTTCAGTCATTTTTTGAGTTTAAAAAAACTTTTATGCAAAGGGGAAAGCTTTTTACGTATCAGGATAACCCGATCGGTCTAAGGAGCTGCGTTTAGATCACATTCCGCTTCTGTGGGCGTGGGTTCGAATCCACTTCTGACAATATAATTTTATTCAGTCATTTTTTTTTAGTTCTCATAACAAATGTGGAAGCGCTCTAGCACGTGTCAGGATGGCCGATCGGTCTAAGGCGCTGCAATCAGGTCGCAGTACACTTGCGCGTTCGCGGGTCAAACTCCCACGTCGAGCAATTATATTTAGTTGAGTTATTTTTTTTTAATTCTCATAAAGTAAATTAAAGGTTACGTTTTCTCAAATTTTTTGGATGGCCAAGCGGTCAATCGCGCTGCGTTCATGTGGAAGTCCACCCGGTTTTGGCGTGGGTTCGAATCACACTTCTGATAATGTAATTTTATTGAGTCATTTTTTTTTAGTTTTCATAAACTATATGTAAGAAAAAGATCTTTCACAGGTTAAGATTCCTGAGCGGTCTAAAGCGCTGCGTTTAAGTCGCCGTAAAATTCTGCAGGCGTGGTTTCGGATTCCACGTTTTATAATTATATTTCATTCATTCATTTTTTTAAGTTCTCATTAATTAAATGAAAGGAAACACTCTCCCACGTGTAAGGATGGCCGAGCGGTCTAAGGCGCTGCGTTCAGGTCGCAGACCACTTGTGTGGGCGTGGGTTCGAATCCCACTTCTGACAATGTATTTCTATTTAGTTATTTTTTGAGGTTAAAGAACTAAATGCAAGGGAAAGCTATTTTGCGTGTCAGGAGGGATGAGCGCTTTAATTCGCTGCAATCAGGTCCTAGTCCACTTGCGTGGGTTCGAATCCCACTTCTGACAATGTATTTCTTTCAGTCATTTTTTGAGGTTAAAAACTACATGCAAGGGAAAGCTATTTTGCGTGTCAGGATGGCCGAGCGGTCTAAGGCGCTGCGTTCAGGTAGCAGTCCACTTCTGTGGGCGTGGGTTCAAATCCCACTTCTGACAATAAAATTTTATTCACATACTTTTCTTAGGTTCCAAACACTAAATGTAAGGAAACTCTTTCACATGTCAGGATGGCTGATCGGTGTAAGCCGCTGCGTTTAGATCACATTCCACTTATGTGGGCGTGGGTTCGAATTCCACTTCTGACAATAAAATTTTATTCAGTCTTTTTTTCTAGTTCTCATAACTTAAATGTAAGGAAACGAACTCGCATGTGTCAGGATGGCCGAGCGGTCTAAGGCGCTGCGTTCAGGTCGCAGTCCACTTGTGTGGGCGTGGGTTCGAATCCCACTTCTGACAATGTATTTCTATTCAGTCATTTTTTGAGGTTAAAGAACTAAATGCAAGGGAAAGCTATTTTGCGTGTCAGAAGGGACGAGCGGTTTAAGGCGCTGCAATCAGGCCGTAGTCCACTTGCGTGTTCGTGGGTTTGAATCCCACTTCGGACAATGTATTTCTTTGTCATTTTTTGAAATTTAAAAAAAAACTACATGCAAGGGAAAGCTATTCTGCGTGTCAGGATGGCCGAGCGGTCTAAGGCGCTGCGTTTAGATCCTATTCCACTTCTGTGGGCGTGGGTTCGAATCCCACTTATGACAATAAAATTTTATTCACATACTTTTCTTAGGTTTCAAACACTAAATGTAAGGAAACTCTTTCACATGTCAGGATGGCTGATCCACCGAGCGGTCTAAAGCGCTGCAATCAGGTCGCAGTACACTTGCGTGATCGGGGGTCTAACTCCCACGTCGAGCAATTGTATTTAGTTGAGTTATTTTTTTAGTTCTCATAAAGTAAATTAAAGGTTACGTTTTCTTAAATTTCAGGATGGCCAAGCGGTCAAAGGCGCTGCGTTCATGTCGAAGTCCACCCGGACTTCGACTTATGTGAGGGAAAACTCTTTCACATGTCAGGATGGCCGATCGTCTAAGGCGCTGCGTTTAGATCACATTCCACTTCTGTGGGCGTGGGTTCGAATCCCACTTCTGACAATAAAATTTTATTCAGTCATTTTTTTTTAGTTCTCATAACTTAAATGTAAGGAAACGCTCTAGCACGTGTCAGGATGGCCAAGCGGTCATAAGGCGCTGCGTTCATATGGAAGTCCACCCGGTTTTGGCGTGGGTTCGAATCCCACTTCTGATAATGTAATTTTATTGAGTCATTATTTTTTTAGTTTTCATAAACTAAATGTAAGGGAAAGATCTTTCACAGGTTAAGATTCCTGAGTGGTCTAAAGCGCTGCGTTTAAGTCACAGTAAAATTCTGCAGGCGTGGTTTCGGATTCCACGTTTTACAATTATATTTCATTCCTTCATTTTTTTAAGTTGTCATTAAATAAATGAAAGGAAACACTCTCCCACGTGGAAGGATGGCCGAGCGGTCTAAGGCGCTGCGTTCATGTCGCAGTCCACTTGTGTGGGCGTGGGTTCGAATCCCACTTCTGACAATGTTTTTCTATTCAGTCATTTTTTGAGGTTAAAGAACTAAATGCAAGGGAAAGCTATTTTGCGTGTCAGGAGGGACGAGCGGTTTAAGGCGCTGCAATCAGTTCGTAGTCCACTTGCGTGTTCGTGGGTTCAAATCCCACTTCGGACAATGTATTTATTTCAGTCATTTTTTGAGTTTTAAAAAACTACATGCAAGGGAATGCTATTCTGCGTGTCAGGATGGCCGAGCGGTCTAAGGCGCTGCGTTCAGGTCGCAGTCCACTTTTGTGGGCGTGGGTTCGAATCCCACTTCTGACAATAAAATTTTTCACATACTTTTCTTAGGTTCCAAAACTAAATGTAAGGGAAAACTCTTTCACATGTCAGGATGGCCGATCGGTCTAAGGCGCTGCGTTTAGATCGCATTCCACTTCTGTGGGCGTGGGTTCGAATCCCACTTCTGACAATAGAATTTTATTCAGTCATTTTTTTAGTTCTCATAACTTAAATGTGAAATGCTCTCGCACGTGTCAGGAAAGCCGAGTGGTCTAAGGCGCTGCAATCAAGTTGCAGTACACTTGCGCGTTCGCGGGTCAAACTCCCACGTCGTGCTATTATATTTAGTTGAGTTTTTTTTTTTAGTTCTCATAAAGTAAATTAAAGGTTACGTTTTCTCAAATTTTTTGGATTGCCAAGCGGTCAAAGGCGCTGCGTTCATGTGGAAGTCCACCCGGTTTTAGCGTGGGTTCGAATCCCACTTCTGATAATGTAATTTTATTGAGTCATTATATTTTTTTAGTTTTCATAAACTAAATGTAAGGGAAAGATCTTTCACAGGTTAAGATTCCTGAGCGGTCTAAAGCGCTTCGTTTAAGTCGCAGTAAAATTCTGCAGGCGTGGTTTCGGATTCCACGTTTTACAATTATATTTCATTCATTCATTTTTTTAAGTTCTCATTAATTAAATGAAAGGAAACACTCTCCCACGTGTAATGATGGCCGAGCGGTCTAAGGCGCTGCGTTCAGGTCACACAGTCCACTTGCGTGTTCGTGGGTTCGAATCCCACTTCTGACAATGTATTTTCTATTCAGTCATTTTTTTGAGGTTAAAGAACTAAATGCAAGGGAAAGCTATTTTGCGTGTCAGGAGGGACGAGCGGTTTAAGGCGCTGCAATCAGGTCGTAGTCCACTTGCGTGTTCGTGGGTTTGAATCCCACTTCGGGCAATGTATTTCTTTGTCATTTTTTGAAATTTAAAAACTACATGCAAGGGAAAGCTATTCTGCGTGTCAGGATGGCCGAGCGGTCTAATGTGCTGCAATCAGGTCCTAGTAGTCAGGTCGCAGTAAAATTCTGCAGGCGTTGTTTCGATTCCACATTTGACAATTATATTTCATTCATTCATTTTTTTAAGTTCTCATTAATTAAATGAAAGGTAACACTCTCCACGTTACAGGATGGCCGAGCGTTCTAAGGCGCTGCGTTCATGTCGCAGTCCACTTGTGTGGGCGTGGGTTCGAATCCCACTTCTGACAATGTTTTTCTATTCAGTCATTTTTTGAGGTTAAAGAACTAAATGCAAGGGAAAGCTATTTTGCGTGTCAGGAGGGACGAGCGGTTTAAGGCGCTGCAATCAGTTCGTAGTCCACTTGCGTGTTCGTGGGTTCAAATCCCACTTCGGACAATGTATTTATTTCAGTCATTTTTCGAGTTTTAAAAACTACATGCAAGGGAATGCTATTCTGCGTGTCAGGATGGCCGAGCGGTCTAAGGCGCTGCGTTCAGGTCGCAGTCCTCTTTTGTGGGCGTGGGTTCGAATCCCACTTCTGACAATAAAATTTTATTCACATACTTTTCTTAGGTTCCAAAAACTAAATGTAAGGGAAAACTCTTTCACATGTCAGGATGGCCGATCGGTCTAAGGCGCTGCGTTTAGATCGCATTCCACTTCTGTGGGCGTGGGTTCGAATCCCACTTCTGACAATAGAATTTTATTCAGTCATTTTTTTTTAGTTCTCATAACTTAAATGTAAGGAAATGCTCTCGCACGTGTCAGGAAAGCCGAGTGGTCTAAGGCGCTGCAATCAAGTTGCAGTACACTTGCGCGTTCGCGGGTCAAACTCCCACGTCGTGCTATTATATTTAGTTGAGTTTTTTTTTTAGTTCTCATAAAGTAAATTAAAGGTTACGTTTTCTCAAATTTTTGGATGGCCCAGCGGTCAAAGGCGCTGCGTTCATGTGGAAGTCCACCCGGTTTTGGCGTGGGTTCGAATCCCACTTCTGATAATGTAATTTTATTGAGTCATTATATTTTTTTAGTTTTCATAAACTAAATGTAAGGGAAAGATCTTTCACAGGTTAAGATTCCTGAGCGG